CATCATCCATCATCCATCATCCATCATCCATCATCCATCATCCATCATCCATCATCCATCATCCATCATCCATCATCCATCATCCATCATCCATCATCCATCATCCATCATCCATCATCCATCATCCATCATCCATCATCCATCATCTATCCATCCATCCATCAATCCATCTATCCATCCATCCATCCATCTGTCCATCTATCCATCATTCATCATCCATCCATCCATCCATCATCCATCCATAATACGGTAAAATTAAACCAACAATATTGTACTACAATTGTACAGCTTCCTGTTCCATTATGTCCTATGAGGATCCAATGCAAAGTCTATTAAAAACAGCATATAGTACTACTGTACCAGCATGTAGTATTAGGGTACCAGCATGTAGTACTAGTGTACCAGTATCCAGTACTAGTGTACCAGTGTTTTGAGCCTCTCTTCCGTCCGATGACTGTAAACATCAGCCGACTCTCACTGATGTTTTCACTTCTCCAGTATTAACACAGTGTTGATTGCCCTCAGGCTCGGTGTGTCACAGCGACACTGGGCACCAGGGCACTGTGTCAGCAGCACTGCAGCTCGGCACAAAGGTTTGGTTTTTCCACACAAACAAAAGATCAGCTCAACTTGTCACAGTCCACAAAGATCTCCCTGTTTCTCTGAGAGCTGCCGACGTTTTCACAAAGAAGTCAAATCTGTTGGAATTCAGTTCAACTTATTTTTTTTTTGTTTGTTTCATGAAATAAATCCTTGTAAACCTTTAAAATAAAATGATGTTTTTAACCTCATTTATTTGTCATGATTAGGAAAGGAAATAAAGTTTTTCATTAACATCATCCCAAAAATCACATTACAAGTGCTCCGCAACATGAAACTAACAACGTACAAAAAAAAAAAAAAAGTAAATATCCAAGGTTGGGTGTCGGACGTCTACACTGGACGACCTGATAAATGATGTCACACTGATGGAGGTGAGACGAGGGTCGAACAGAAGTGTGGACCTGCAGGAGTTAACGTACTGGAACGTGTTCATGTTGCTTTGCACATGTAAAACATTTTTGAGTAAAACATTAGGAAGTAGAAGTTATAACTGATCTGTCTTCTCAGTCTTGAAAAATCCAGCAAAAATCTCTCTCTCTCTCTCACTCCCTCCTTCCCTCTCTCGCTCTCTGTAATCTGTTAATCACACTCACCTATGTCCTGGTCTCTGCTTGTCTCGTTTGGCCTCATCTGCCCCACCTGGTGCCCAGCTTATATATACCCCTCTCCCAAACCCTCATCCTGTCTTTGTCTCAGCTGGTTGTCAAGTTGGTTGAGTGTCTGTTGCTCTGTTCCTGTCTGATGTTTTTGTCTGTACTGCTGTGTGTGTTTTTTTTTTAGTTTTCTGCCTGTTTTGCCAAAATTAAAAACCGGGACAAAGTCGCGGCCAAACTTAATATTTATTGAGAGTTTGACCTCGATCGTGCCCGTCGTCCCTTCTATCCAGATCTGTACGAACAGTTTCAGTAAAAGGCAGTTTTTTTTTTCTCACTGTCGGTTCCTTTATATCGATGTTGAATTGCTCTGTTCAAAGAGCCAACGTTGGAGAAGCGAGCTGTGATTGAACCACATCAAAAGCACTTCTGAACATTCCACTCTCTGGCAACGGCGTGAAAAAAAAAAAAAAAAAAAGAAGTGACAGATAACGTTTTCACTCTGTGTTTCGGAAAATGTGACATGATTCAGCTTGAGTTAATTATGGTGTTAAATGTGCTCCTTCAGTCGTTTTCCTGAAAAATTCCCCCTCCAACTGAAATGAGGAACATTTGTCATAATTATCCCATTTATAAAATCAGGCTCCTCCCCTCCACAACACCAGGTTCAGGCTTGAATATCTGACATGTCAAACTGTGGGGGGTTGTGATACCATCTCACCGCTTCCTTCGCTCTGCTGCACGTCTGTGTCTTATCTGTGGTGCAATCTGCAGCATGTGACGTCAGGTATGTGAGAAGAAAAAAAGAAACATGACTTCGCTTGTCACGGAGAATATTCTGGATCACGTTACTCGCTCTCTGAAGACAGGATTATGTTATTTGGACTTCAGTGCAGTTCCCTAACGGAGGCTAATCTTTTTGAACAACGACTACTGAATAACTGACTATTCTGTTTCAGTTTAACCCCCCCCCCCGGCCCCTCCAGGTTCTGATTATGGCCTTTTAAAAACAGGTTTTATTTGGCTCTGATCTTAGATGGTTATTATTATTTAGGTCAGTATGACGCCACATGGTGGCAAATGAGTGCATTTACATCGATGAGGTCACTGGTCACAACCTCCCATTGGATTCTTCTGTGCATAGGTTTAACATGTGGTAACTAGGTTGATCAGGATTGGCTCAGGCGCCCCCTGCGTTCGATAATGGATGTACACGTTTCAAGTGTTGATGGTTCTGCACCAGTTATATGTAATAATATTCATTTTTCTAATCTAGAAGTTTGATTGATTTATTATAAATTCATCATGAAGGACTGCTCTGAATCCGGGATCATTTTGGA